TGTGTAAATGTACATACACATGTACATCTATATATGCACATACATACACATACATATAGTGCCCCTAATGATCCTGGGCCCCTTTTATACAATACTGGAAAGTACAGTGTTGTTGAGCATTACACCTACCTTAATTTACCTCCTGGAAAAGGGTCAACATGAGCATAGCTGACATGAAGCTCACCAAAGCACTTGAAAAATTGTCTAACCAATAACTTGAAGGTGTTTCCACTGGATCGCTAAGCACTTAAAAGTATTCTACCGCTGGAACTTTCCTGAGAATTGACAGTCCTGGACAAACCCAAACGACATTCAAGTTCTTCTAACACTTAAAAGTGCTTCACCACTGGATTGAGGATTCAATATTGAGGAGTGCAGAAACAACAACTTTCCCGAGAACCATCCATCCTGGTCAATTCCTGAACATGTTCAAGTTGTTCTAACACATCGAACGTATTTTACCACTGGATTGACGATTCGAGATTGACATATTTCACGGAAAACTCTTCCGAGAATCTTATTGAACACCGAGAGTATTGAAACGACCCCGGAACTTGTTTAAACCTGGATTCTAGATTCAAGATTCCCAGAAAGTATTCTCTCAGAGTCTTAAATCTTGAATCTTGATACCATATTTTTTACAAAAAATAAAAAACAATATGGGATTTAAGATTCAAGATTCAAGATTTCCTTCAAATATTTTCTCAGATTCTTGAATATTGAAACTTGAATCCAGGATTATTTATTTATTTATTTATTTGGGAAAAATCCTAAGTTGTTCTTGTACTCTGGATGCATTCAAACTCTTTCAGATTGCAGATGCTGATGTCATTGCTTTTATCACATCTGTCTGCATGCATGCATATCGTACATGAATATGGCACCCCCAAATTTTCACACAACTCCAAGAAGCAAAAAAACATAAAACACTGGAAAATACAGGTTAAACACACCAAACCAGGGTCCATGGGGGGGGGTACCATATATATATATATAATAGATTTACCCAACAATTGTAATAATTTAACCCAAACATAATATATATATATATATCCTTCAGCATGGGTAAGAATGATTAGCTGTTCAACCACAAGAAAAGGCGCTTACGTGAGCCAATGAAGCCAGTCGCATGGAATTTCCACTACTTAAACCCAGCCTGGATCACGCTACCCACCCTCTTAACCCACCCGAAACCAACATCAAACCTACCTTAACAAACCAAACCGACCCAAGCACCAATGAATCCAGACATGTCTAGACTGACAGTCGTTTGCCCGAAAAAAGAAGGGTGAGAAATAATAGGGAGAACCGCCAACCAAAGCTCGCGCTTTGCACGGGCCTCAGGCCGCCGTGGGACCGACATGTCCAAAGAAACCCAGTCGCGGTCCATGTTTGATTTATTGATCCGACAAATAATAATTTTGATGGATTATCGACTGAACATTTCGATGAAACATGTTTTGTTCTTTTTTTTGACAAATTAAATAACATATGACGGTCCCTGCCACACACCAGCAACCCAAGATCAAGCTTTGATAGTGCTGTGCAAGCCTCTCTGGTGCGGCCTTATGCTTTTGAGACAGGGAGTTTTTATAGCGAGCCAGCAATTCAAGGCAACATGTGGCCATTGCCCAGAATTGTTTCTAAAGTGATTCAATCTCATTTTCGGATCCCAAGACCCTCCACCCATTCATCCCAGCTTCACCTCTTGCCAAGGCGCTGTACACTGGCAGCTCCCAGCTTTCTGAGGGTCATCGCGCCGCACCATCGCGCGGCGGATGGACACGAAAAAGGCCCCGAGATACAAAACTCCAGCGCGGCCATCAGTCGCACGCGATCTGGGGTACCGGTTCCCCCTGGGAGATCTTGGAGCAAAAGCGACTAGTAATATCTCATTCCTTCGTGTTTGGAGCAAAAGGGGAAAACGACACCTCGTGATGTAAGTCTCTTTCTGACGTGGACGGCCACAGTAGAATCGGCCGGTGGAACTCCGTCTACCAAAAGAACAAGTTTCCTGCTGGCTTTGTGTGTAAACAACAAGCCTGCAAAGACGTTGCAGGATGTTGCAGGGCAACATGTCCAAGAGACCCCAGCGAAACATCTACGCTTTCATGCCATCACAGGATTTGATCGCCTCATGCCGGCGACCGTCTTCCGCAGGCTCGATTGGCAAAAGATCTCGCTTGACTTTGCGACTTGGGTCTGTGCCCATCACCGGCAGAGGCGGCCGTCGTCACCCACTCACATCCTCTAAATTCCGGGAGAAAGCGCCTCCATTTGTGGAGTCGCCCAGCACACTCTCGCGACGCGTGGCCGCGTGACCTGTCTGCCTGCATGGGTTTTTCTGGCCTCTGAGTCGGGAGGTGTGTGCTGCCATGCCGATTCCGTGTGCATCACACGGTCACAGGAAGGTGCATGAGAACTTCAAGGGTGACAGCTCCCACTGAACATGTTGCAAATGAAATCCGGTTTGGACCTTTGCATGCTCATATCTAACTGCAACCTTCATTCCATCCCTAGGACCAGGTTGAGTTGGAGTCATCAGAGCTGCCCATGTTCAAAAGATATGCTTCTGTGGTAAGGAATGGAAGGTTGCAAAGCCCAGGTGAGAAAACCTGGGTGATAAACCGCCTCTGTATCGGCAGGACTGCACAGGTGCCAAATAATGTGTCCTCGACAAGGCGGTTGTTTTCCCAACTGACTCCATACACCTGGGCTGCGAGACCAAGGCGGAGAGGTGGGAAACAAGTCGTGGCAACAAGCAGCTGAAGCAAAGAACCACCAACCATGCGACAAAAATTCTTTGCTTAAGCTGGAGAAAGAAAAAAACCGAACTTGGCAATTGGTGTTTCAGCTGCTTTCTTCTGGTGGTTTTCCTAATTCGGGCGGGGAAACCAAAAAACAGAAAACTTGGCCCTGGATTTCTCCCAAGCCCCTTGGCTGACCTTTGAAACCATGTACTACAGGGAAACCACGAGGAACACCGCCGGGTCTCAAACTCGGCCCAAGCCCAGCGTTCCGTTCGGTGCAGCTTCAAATTTTGGGTGTTTCCATGGTCATTCCATGAGTTGACGCCATGCCACATGAACATCCCCAAAAGATTCGAGCGACCATCTAAAATGAGCGAAGTCAGTGCCTAAACCTTCATGTCCACTGCTTTGTATCTTGGCTGCCGTTCACTGACACGTACCTTGGCAATGACATTGGGCAATGTATCGCGCTTGCGTGCTATGGCGCGGTTTATCTCAAAACCCGCCTGTGCTATGGGCCTATGGGGCGGTTGGGGCGGTTTTGAGACCTGCGGACAGTCGCAACCTGTCCTGGCCACCAGCCACAGGAGCCAGCCTGGCGGTGGTGGTCAGCTGAGCCCGAGGCTTGTAGGTCTTGAAGCTTCGCGTGCCGAAGGCTAAAGGAACACTTGGATTGGGGACGTTACGCCGAAGAAAAAAAAGAGAGGAGGAAAAAAAAAACACGGAAATTTCGAAGCAGGAAGCCGTTTGCTCATGTCCAGATGCGGATAGCCCAAGCTGTCAGGAGATCAGGAGTCAGCACCACACATTGCACCAAAGCGACACCAGGGGAAATTCACCATGCGATCAACCTCAGAAAGGTGGGCAGTAACTCATGCTCATGCACCACAAAGGAGACCACCGAAGTCCAAATGCCAGACTCAAATTCCTCAAGGAAGCAACTTGACCTGGATAAATCCAGAATATGAATCTTGCCTGCCCATTGGGCATTTGGGATGGGGATATGAAGACAAAGAAGGAATCTCGGCATTTTTTGGAGCCACAGCCATTTAAACCTCGGACATGCGTTACAGCTGGTTGGCTGGTTGGCCCGTACGAGCGAACCCAAAGCCAACCTCTGCCAGGCTCTGTATCTTGGCACCTCGGGCGCGACTTGGAATCCACAAGCTGAAGGGCACGAGAACTATGGCTGTGCCTCAAACTGGGATCCCATGGCCACCTTAATAAATGGAACCGAAGTCTACCTGCGTAACCCTAGCTCTTGAATTGAGCCACACCCATATCAATGGAAAGGTATCCAACAAGTTTACAAGTGGCACAATAACAAGTTTACAAGTTACGACTTTTACCAATATGCTCCGTTTTAGAACCAGTTTTCACAACCATGCACAGAACAAGCACGACCGTAACAAAAGGCGAAAGGACGGTGATTCAATTTGACATGCAACACCAGTGGACTCCACCGGAAAATTTCCCTCGTCTGTGTAGGATGTTACGGAGTATAAGAAAAGCACAAAAACAGAAAGGACACCACCGGGAAGAACACCCTTGGATGCGGTTCGGCAACTGGATAGAACAAAAAGAGCGCCACAAAAAAAGGACCCCTGTATGTAGGATATCAAAAGAGCTACGAAAAAAGAAAGGACCAACAGGAAGAACAGGCCAACATCCACACAAAAGCAGCAAAGCCAACCCCCCCCCGTGTCAGGATTGTAGATGTGGTAGCCGTTTCTCAGGCTCCCGTTTTCTCCAAAGCTCCGAGGCGAAGCTCGTTTTCGAAGCAAAGCTCTCAGGCGCCCGCAGCTAAGGCTCATGGCATCCAAATGGGCGGTGGCCTGGGCCAAAGCTGCCGGGGTTTTGGTTTAACCAGCCATCCGACGGCGTCTCTATCTTCCCGTGGTTTCACACAAGGCAGAGACAAATGGCAAGGCTTCCAGACAAATGTGGCATTCCAGAGTCGAAAATTCCATAGAGATTGACCTTTTTCTAGCCTAGTTGTTTTTTTCAGGCCGCTTCACAGGCAGGAAAACTGTATGACAAGACAGTGATGCTGCTTCTCAGCTCCAAAAGGAAGCAATACCAGGAGACCCACATCAAACCATGCAATCCGCCTGCAGCCTCTCCGGCAAGTGCCGCAAAACACCCTCCCATTTGCTTCTTCCTCGGTTGTAAGTTTTCCCTTGGCACAACTGACAACATCCACGCGTTCCACGAGATCCATGGCCCTCGGGCCGTGGCCTGCTTTTCTATTCAGGCCATCACCTCACGTCGGGTCAAGCACAGGCAAGCACTTCAAGAAGTTTAAGCCTCCGGAAATGCTAGACTACGGGGAGAAAAGGGAAAGAGAGTGGTCAAGAGAACCGATAGCCAACCCAACTCGCCTGTCTGCCTCTTGCCAACCAGAAGGAGTACGTACAGATTTCTGCAACACGGGCCACACATGTCCCAGCCAGAACGGACACCATTGGCTTGATGAAATTCCCTCCCAAAACACAGAGCAACTCCAAGCACCTGCCACAAGCAACAACCGCTTTGTCTCGCATGATGTTCAGCCCGCCCCGGTCTGGGAATGGCACCCCACTGTCCATGAGCGGAGCATTGAGTGGAGTAGCCTGGAACACGCGGTCGTCAAGCTCAAATCCATGGATGTTGCCAAACATGTCGTTCGGGTCACCACATTCTATTCCCGGGTTGTTGCACCAAACGGGTCGCTGTTTGCAAACGCCCTGATGATTTACCCATCCCCAACTCCTTGAACAAGTAGACAGGCAGACTCGCTTCTGTTGCAGGAATGTGTGAAAGCAGTCTGCGCGACCCGCTGCGTGCGACGCTACATCCGTGGCTTCCAAGGCAACGCGTCCTTTTCGGCATTCTCCCATGCCTATGTTGCTAAGTTGCTTCTTCGCAAAGCTTCAAGTCTGGACTCCTGGAGGGAGTCTGGAACGTAAAGGCACCTTCCGCAGAAGAAACCTTTTCTCAAGCTCCTCGTCTCCAAGTCTGCACATCAAGGCACACTTCTAATGTTGACCCCATATTAATCAACCCCAGTTTATGAATAGGGGTGTCCCTGGTTTTAGTAGGGAATCATCACTAGTGGAGGGGTTAAAACCACCCATATATTTTAAACTGGGGTTGATGATTGATGAACATCTGGGGTCAACATTCTCCACTTCTGGGCAATCCCGCGCGCCTCCAATGTGTACAGGGCTTCCCGCAAGCAGCGTGTGACCCCGGAACTTTCGTCCATCGCGGAGTTCGCGAAGGCCTGATGCGGAACGGACGCAAGCGGCACGCATCCTTCAGGGCCAGTGCCCATTTGGGGCCCAAGAGTGATGTTTTTGTTTGGCGCTGGACGAGACGTGTTGAATAAAAACCGCCTAGTGCAGCTTCACATCGTGGACATCTCCAGAGGTGCATGTCGATGTCCAGTCTGAGTATGTTCAATAGGGCCCAAGCTGCGAATGAAAGGGACCTTGCGCGATAGCCTGGGCAAGAGTTCTCTGGTTGAAACCCAAGTAAAACAGCAAATGGTTACTTTTTTCCGGCCAAGCCTGTTCTCGTCTTTGCTCAGTTTTTCTTTGGGCTAATGGTTGGCAAACCAGAGTTGGCTGGCCGTTATGGGGGTCTGATCCCATGCTGGTCCCAGCACCTTCCGCAAACAGCCGTTTTGCTCGAAGCAACTGAGAGACTCTTGCGCCCGTTCGGTGGCTTCCGTCCTTAGCTGACTTCAAAGGGAACCCCACTCCACCAAATACGTGAACATTGGCTCACTGTAAAGGGTATCCCAATCCAACAAATACCAGGAGCCACAAAACCCGATGAACATGTCATACCTAAAAAGCAATGTGTTTCTTTTTGTTCTTTGGAAAACACAATGTTTTCTAAAAACACAATATGTTCGATTTCAAGCATTTTCCCATACATTCCTTCAACTCAGCTTTGCATTCGCCACTCGTCACTCTGAAAGAAGGAGGCCGGGGACCTAAATAGTCAAAAGTCCCACCTGACACTTGCCAAGCAGCAATGCCATGATGAGGGCGTGCAGCTTTTTTAGCCCACAACTTAGTTCAAAATTCTCGAACTAGCGCATCCGGGATTGAACCCGAAAACACATAGAATTTCCACGGTTTGCTTACTACGGGCCTCAGCGCAATGTTTTCTAAAAAACAATGTTTTTGGTTGGGGCTACGGGTTTTCTACGGGTTTTCTACGGGTTTCAACGGGTTAGCCGCCAGGATCCCGCCCCATTTTCCAAAAAAAGAACACAACAATCACAAAAGCAATCTCAAAAAGCGCCACCCGGTCTGCCCCGCATTTGAAAGCTTGGGTGATGCCTCTGTGAATTCCACTCCCGACCCTTGCCTTTGACCCTTTGCTCCAAATGAGAGCTTGGTCTCAGAAGCCCATCTTGAGTGGTTTTATCAAACGGCGATGTTGTTTGTTCTTCTGAAAACACCGTGTGTTCACAAAATCAAGAAAAACAATGACTTAGTCAGGGTACCACATCTTGGGTTCTTGAAGCCCTACGTGAACCTTGGCTCACTTCAAAGGGAATCCCACTCCAACAAATACGCGAAAAGCACAAAAACAAGCGCGCTGTAAACAAAAAAACACTCCAACAAATACGCGGAAAGCAAAAAGCAAAGCAAAAAGCAAAGCAACATTCAAGCAAAAAGCAACAAAAACCAAAGAGAGCAAGCCTCAAACAAGGCGGGCACCCACTACCCGCGGAACCCGCCGCCGGGACCGCGCCGCCTCTTCCAAGGCCCGCTGAAGCTCTACGCGGCTGACGCAGGAGGACCTCGCTGCCGCCGAGGCCACCATGCCCCGACGGCCCAAAAAAAACCGAGACACAGACGTGGTGGGTCGAGAGGGAGGGATGTTCCCCAAATGTTGCCAAAACCCAGGGAGGGATGTTCCCCAGATGTTCTCCTTGTTTTGGCAAATGGAAAGACATGGAGGGTTTAGCCTGCGGTTTGTTTGGTGGTTCAAGATTTTGAGCCATAGCCAAATATGGCCACCGTGACCCTGGGACGACAAGACACCGAAAAGACACAGACGACCTTTGGCTGTGGTTGTCAAAACCGCCATGGGATCCCATTTTGGTTGGTAGGTGAATTCACCACCCATTTCAGAACCCATTTCAGTGAGGATTGGGATGTTCACTGGGGGTACGGGATTTTGACCCACAGCCATATGCAAACACAAACACAAACATACAAACACACGTAAAACAAAGAAAGAAACACACACACACACACACACACAAACAAACACAGACACACCAGTTCCACTACAGGCTCGTTTCATGGACGTGTATCTTCATTGTGCGGCATCGGAAAAGCCCTTGCTGCACGCTGGAGTGATCCTGACCACGGTTTGTTTCTGCCGTGCCGCGGGATGTTTCCTGTATTGGGGACCCTGTTGCCCTCGTGTTTTTGACAGCTCCTCACCACTTACCACAGGCCAACATCCCCTGCGATACCCAGTCCAGCCATCCTAGCACCCATCCTGAGCACCAGGCACATAGTCTGGCGTGGCGCACTTACAAGCAACGGCTCGAACTGCCTGCGCCAGGCTCGCAATGGATCACAGTGGAAAGCTGTAATAAAGGGTGGGTCTCTCCTTCGGTAGTTTGCTGATGCTCGATGTGCAAGCTATGCACCAGCTCCTATTGTTGGGTCAATCTGAGTCTGGCTTGATACATGCCGCCTGCATTGCTGGTCTATTTCTGGTATCTTGTGGCAGGCGTCTTTACACCGCTGGATGCTTCTTTGCAACTGCTCGAGATTTCTGGGCTTTGAAAGTAGTCCGCAAAGAGACCATGTAGCCTATCTAGGTCCTGCAGCAGAGAGGTTAGAATAAGGGTACCAACTTTTTTCTGTAGCCTCCCCAAAAAAAAGGTAAAAGGGCAATACTGGGGGACCTAGCTATGGTTTCCCGGCCCATTCACAGCTGAGTCGCCGGAGTTTTTGGCGAAGTCTCACTCGACCGGGCCTCCGCCAACTCCATTCGCACCAATCCGTCAATGTGATCCGTCGCCGCCTGAGCTCAGCAAAAAAAAACCGCCGAGGCGCCCTGGTTCGCAGGAACGCCAAGGTCATCTGGCCATGGATTTTTAATCGGGAACCACCTCAAAAGTGATTGGTGGACACGAATCCCCACCTAAATGATGTCCACCAAAGAGTCCCTTATTAGCATTCATACCCATCTGAAACCAGAGAGTGTTTGGTACGCAGGGGCCCCAGAACATACTAAATCAGCTCCAGCGAAGCAGCTTTTTTTCGCTCGCCCAGGTTGGCCGACTGACCGACCCCCCAGTTCTCCAGGGGTTTGGCGTGGGTTTAGAGTGAGTTTCAGGTTGGCGGGTGGGATTCGGGTGCGTAGAGCCGGCTGGCTTTGGGTTGAAGTTCTGCCCAGATTTCCATGGGCAAAAAAGAATCGGCATCCGTGTTTGGTTGGTTGAGTTTAAAGGAATTGGAACCCTTTGCCAAAAAAAAAGAAAAGAACAAAAAAGAAGGGCGGATCCACTGGGCAAGTGGGAGAATAAATCATCCTTTGACTCAACCGAGGCTGTTGAACTGTTTGGGAGAGCCTCGCTCTGCCTTCAACACCCAGATTGATTAGGTGAGTCACCATCAAAACCCGGTATTACACGGTATTAAAATGGTCTACCCAGAACCATGCTTCAAGAATTAAGAAGCCGGATATCCGCAACTATTTCTGGCTGGGACTGCCCCTTACTAACCTTCGTCTACCCGGGTTTTGAGCACGTGGCTCAGGTGTCTATAAATTCGCCCCTTTCCAAGGTTGGCCACGGCGAGTTGCCCCTCGCAGGGCGGCCATGGTGAGCTCGGACACGCATTGCGCCTGATGAAATCGGCGACGCATTCGTTGCTTGGTGGAAAAAGGCACGTTGGCTGGGCTGCCCGTTTTCGGATCCCCCGCAAAAAGTGACGAACTTTTAGTGGTTTAAACTCGGAAACAACCACTAAACACTAAAAGGATCTGAAAAGCTAAGGAACAGGATGGCAGGGCCACCAAGTTGAGGTCTGACCGATAACTCCTCCGCCTGCCAACCTTGAAAACCCAGGTTCTCCTTGATGTTCCTCAAATGGAGGATGAGCTAAGGACTGCTTGAGGGTTGTTGAAGAGCAAGGATCCAATGACGGTGCATGGCAAGTTACTGGGTTTTGCATCACCAACGGCAGTATTCAAGGAGTTCCGGCTGCTTCAAGTGCATCCACATCTCCCTCGAACTTGGGCTGCATCAAAACTGCGCATGCCTGCGCCAATACATATCCTACATCACCTTCCATGAACCGGTCAGAAAGGTCGGGAGGCCTTTGCTACGTGTAGCAAGGCAAATGGTAAGGAAGGTTTAACAAAAAGAAAAAAGTGGCTCCGCCAAAGTCGCCGCCCGCCCGTGTGTCCGGCTCGACATGGCCAGCGCCTCGCCGTTCTGTACCAGCCCAGAGGCGAGGCGTGCCGCGGGGTACCTCACGCGCCGCTCGCGCAGCGAAGCGCGCCCCGGACGAACCGCCGTGACCCCCAAAACGGCCGGTGAATTCTCGAGCTTCCTTTCAAACCACACCCAAAAAAGTGGCGCCCTATTTTGAAACACACCCTCATATCATCTTATGACACATTGTCAAGGACTGGCTCATCTCCCTCCCTTCAGCTTCTCAAGTGGATCATCCGCAAGGCGAGCCTTTGCGCAATGTGGCGATGCTCGTGATAAATAGGCCACAACCTAACTCAGGAAAGGCTGCAAGTATCATCAAGAGAGGCATGTCATCTCCTGGAAGTGCAAATCGGATCTTAACCTTGTTCTAATTGAGCTCAACAGTCGGTCTGTCGCAGATTCACAGGGTCCATGTTACTTCAACATGCGGATTTGTCCCACAACAACAAGTGAATGGTAAGTTGTCTTTTGGTTTCGCTTTTTGCACACACACACACAAACACAGAGACACACACACACAGACCGAGCGCACGCAATGTCAATGGTCCTGTTCACGCAGAGATCTTCCAGGATCTGCGCGGGGCCATCTCCACACACAGAGTTCGCGGCGACATCATTTGAGCAAAATGGTTGACCCAGAACAATGTAAAGAATTAAGAAGGCGGCCGCAGCTATTTATGGTTGGCATTGTCCCTTACTAACCTTCATCTACCCAGGTTTTGAGTGTGGCTCATTTTGGCACGACACCAACTGCCATTTTTGACCCTCAACAGCCTTTGCTGTTGCGTATCTGCATGTTTGCGTCGCCTATCCACTGGTAGTCAGGTTGTGCAACACAGTATAAACCGCGGACCGCGAACAGCTCAAGGCTCCTTTTCAGGATTGCACCACAGCGCCTTCTGCACATCACTCATGGCGGAGAGAATGGCGGTGGCTCCTCAAGCATCTGTGTAAGGATCTGAGTGCCGCTCCTAAAGCGTAGGTATGGGGGGGGGGGGGGGTATGGGTAAACGAGGTCATAGGAAACGTCTCATAACGACGGACACAGCTGGAAATGTGTTAAAAAACTTTACAGGGCGCGTGAACGCGTCTACTAAAAGGACACCAATTAGGTGGGCGTCCCCAGCTTTGACTCGCAGCTTTGGCGCGCGTTGTGCGCTCGGAGGCCATGGCGGTCCTGCTGTGCTGGCACCAACCACCGCCGCAAGCGCAGCTACTGCTTCTGCCTGCGTGCCAAGAGCAGTCCGGATGCTGACTGCGCGTCCAAGCACAACGACATGGCTGTGGGTCAGAACCAATGGTACCATTTTGGGGTAGGTGCACCACCCATTTTAGTCTATTGTAGTGGGGATTGAGATGTTCACTGGGGGTAGAGGGTTTTGATCCAAAGCCACATATCCTCTGGGAATGATTAGCTTGTTGCCGTGCAACATGCGACCGGTCCTTCTATTGAGCCTTTTGTCTTGGCAGGGCACATGCTGCTGTACCTTGTGTATTGAGATGACACACCGAACTACTACTGTTGCAGCTGAAGAAATCCTGCACCACCGAAAAGGGAACAAGCTCATCACGCCTCACACAATGGGTGTCCGATTAGTTCGCACGCCCTGCATCATTGACACAAATCGTGCACCACCCTTGCAGGATTTGGTTCAACATTGGGTGTTCGCGCCCCATGCCCTTTATGGGCATACTCTGAGACGGTGCAGGATTTCTTCCGTCTACCACCTTGAAACCAGGAATTTCCTCCTGTTTGTTGTGAAACGCACATGCCAGTGCAGTTCCACATTCTGAGTTATCTATATGTTTACTGGCATTGTCTCTTTGAGCATTTTCTGGGTTCTGGTTGCCTGTTCAAAAGTGGGGTGGACGAGGCAATCGAAATGCAAGAGTTGCAAAGATTCCGGGTGAGTAACAGATCATATTGGCAGTAGTCAGTGCATTTGGGAAAATCCTGGACGGCGGATGTCCACGAAGAAGCATCCGGGGGGTCTCTTTCGTCAAGAGATGTGGTCGAGGGGGTCAGTGCACACGTCTCATGGGTTCCCGAAAACCCATGAGAAACATGAAAGCAAGCGATGTTCAGCCCAAAAGCGTTTTGTAACATAGCACGCATCCCAAAAGCCACTGAAGAGCTTGCTTACAACAGAACATGAATCATGTAAGCGGTATATAAGGGGTATCTAATTTTGAACTAACGCTTTCGCCCATGTAAAACTCTTTAGAAAATCCCCAAATCACAAGATCTACACAACAAAAAACCCGACCAAAGGCGTGAGTCTTAACGCAAAGAGAGCGCTCAGCGACCTGTCCGACCTGCCGGTCACGTCGCTTTCTGCCGTCGGCCTCCAAATGGGGCGCCTCGCAGCCGACCATGTCCACGAGCGGCTGCAAGTAGGCGCCCTTACTCTCCCCTGGCCAAAGCGTGGGGGTGCATGGGATGACCCATGGGATCTGCAACACGAGGCCAAGTGTTCGCACAGCTCGTCGAACAACACCAGCGCTGCGACTTCAAGCATCGCAGCCTGGATCCCGAAACAGCTACGAATCAATGACACCTTTTTGCATCTTTAAAGCTTTACTAGGATCAAGGTACACATCCCAAAAAAAGGCACGCTGCACCAGGAACCCGAACAAGCGGCAGCGGCAAGCAGTAGTAGCGGCCCAAAAAACAGGCACGCACCAGCACACCACCTGCCGTTTTCAATAGGCTCCGAACCCTCACCTGCGTCAGGCGGAGGTACTGATATTGGCATCATCGGGGACTCCACCTCGGAGGTGCAGTTTGGTTCCAGCAGATAGCAAGGCTTGGCTCAGGCACTTGCCTCAAGCGGCGCTTTTGCTTTTGAGATGATTACCCTCCCACCAACTAACATGGAAGTGCAAGAAGGATCTTTTCCTACAGGGGTCTGTGCACTTCCATGTTAGGTGGGAGGGTACCTCCTGCGGAATTGTTGAGTTGGAAGGCGGAACACTCTGCTGTCGGACGCTGCCCCAATGACTCGAAGTACTCAGTTGCACCTATCACAAAGAAGGCGTTTGACCGATGAAGCTTTGCTTACTCCTGTCATTTATGAAAAGGCTTCTCAACAGTCACAAACCAATGGCCGAATCGCAAAACCTGCCGCATCAACTGGTCTCACAGCACCTCTCAGCCAATGTTTTGCGGGACTCAATGCGAAGCTCCAACCATCAGTTTCTTCATTGCCAACAATGATATGAGGGCACGGCTGTCTGATTCTAACCCACAACCTTCAAAGTGAGGCAAGCTTTTGGATTCCCGGCAAGCCGAATGCACTCTCGTCACTTTTGGCAGCAAAGGGCCAACTGGACCAACTGAAGTCATCTTGATCTTTGGTCTAATCCTCTCGGATAGACAATGCTCGACTCGTCCGTCGAGGCAAGTTACAAGCGGACGCCCGGTTCGCTGTGAGTGGTCCGCTTTGCACAAACTGATTAAGTGCTACTCGAAACATCGTTGATGCACGAAATCTCGTAATTACCACCTTTGAACAACAATCGTCGACCCCTGATCATCCCTGATCCAGGGAATGGTTTCCCATGGAAGGTGTTCGCTTTTGGCTCCAGGGGCGAAGCCCCGCAAGCAACCAGGTTGAACGACCCTAAAAGTTCTCACATTGCCGTAAAGTGGAACATGGCCACCGCTGGCGTGAACTGACATCCTCACGCTCGATGTCTTTCGCCCCACATTGTTAAGCCCAGAAGGCATTTGTCTTTCACATCGAAACCACCTGAGTCACTTGCTCAAAACCCGGTACAAAAATGGTTCACCCGGAACTGTTCTTCAAGAATTAAGAAGCCGGATATCCGCAAGGCTGGGACTGCCCCTTACTAACCTTCATCTACCCGGATCCATACAGTGAATACACCTGAACATTGCAACTTGTAGATGGCGGTGTCCCTTTATTTTGGCGGAAAAAACAATGTTTCCAATGGGCAAAATGTATCTTTTAAGGAGCCCTGCTCAGGGTCCAAACTTTTGAGATGGTCCAAACCGGGAGGACCATGGCTCTCCATGTCAGGCGAAAAAGCAAAAATCAACAGGGACGCTGACCTTGGTCTTCCAGGACCCTGAAAAAGCAGTTGCCTTTGGCTGATTTTTTCTCTTTTCAACCAAGAGCCAAATCAAGAAGGGCCCTGTTTTTGCGGGCCCCTGGAAGACCAAGGCGAATGGAGTTTAAGAAAAGTGGGCTCCAGCTTGCACCAAAGCACAATCATGTGTGTAACATCCTACAGCCTATGTAAGCAGAACAAATTTAGAGTCATCCAGTACAGTTCGGAGCTTGCGACCCGACTAAACTGAGGCTCTTGCTGGAGCAAGGCCGCAGTTTAGTCGCAAATCGTTCGACACCTCGCGGAGTTTGGAAGCATTGGTGAGTACCAGTTCCCAACCACACTTGCCATTGTCAACGATAACTCGACAGTTGGTGACTTTTGGTCCTGCATGGTTTCAGGTGAGGCATGACGCCAACACTCCTGCTGTGAAAACTCGCCACCGGAGGTTGGTCGACCATCTCCCAATGACCCTGAAGTCAGACGTCAAGGCCACCCCAGAGTTTGGCTGAGTAGCTGTGATCAAAACAAGTCCCTTGCATCCTGATACGAAGTGTGACAGGAGCAAGCCAGGTCAGAAGGATAGACACATACAAAGTCTTCGGGGGGGGGTGCGACAGGTTCTTATAAAATTGCGAGTGTTGCTTTGGAAAAGGCTTCGTTGGGAGTTGGTGGTTTTGTGCGGATAAGCCCGGGATGCTATTCAAGTGCGTCCTGAGCACTGAACTGTGTGATCAAACCACCCCTAGTTGGTGAATTTTACTTGGCATCAATACACGCACCCCCATAGCTGATTGGTCGATCTTAGGAACCCTGGACCCTAGGGTGGCTCAAAGCCAGAGGCAGGTTCCAAAGGTGCCTTCACCCGAACAAGTCCCACAGGGCGGAATCCCTCTATAGGCATTCTGGGAAAGAAAAAAACTTGACTGGCTGGAATGCACCAATTGATTGCAATTGTTGCGCACGTGCCAAGCAAATGCGCGGCAGCCTCCTCGAAAAGCTGATGAAAAGCAAGGGCGTCGCCGTTGCAACGCCGAAACCTGCGTGGGTTTCAAAAAACACAACTTACATGTGATGTAGACAAGAACATCGGACCAAATCCTCATGAGGTGGCCTCTTCCCCATAAAGATCGAAGTGCTCCAAAGCCGCCCCAAAAAAGTCGGGGGAATCAAGCTTCCAAAGTGGGCAAGACCAATGGCACAGGGCACAGGGGCGAGTGCTATGTCCCAACGCAAAGCAGGCTGGATGTTCATGAGCTACGATTCACAAGTGACAGGAGTGCCAGAAAGAGTGCGTCGGCTTGCAGGGCATCGGGACTTTTTCGCCAGCATCGCTGTCGGTAGTTCTTTGTACATGAGGGTTGCGCCAAAGGCCCTGTCACTGGCTGTGTCTCTTTTGGAGCGGACGGCTGTTCGCAACACCGTGCCGCCGCTTGCTCCGTTGCTCCCTCGCTTTGCCGCAACCTCGGGTGACACCGTCCAGGCCAAAATGGCTGGGAGAATTCGCGCAGCGTGAGCTCACTTCGCCACAGCGCCAGTCACGCATAGCCTGCCTGGCCTGCGAAGGCGTTCAAGGGCGGAAGAGAGAACAAGCTGTGGAAATTGAGCATCAGCTGGTTCCATGTCAGCGTGCATCTGGCCTGTGGAAAGCGCAAGTGCTTACCAGCATTCTTAACTGCCACTTGAAGAATCCACAACCAGCCAGCGTGCCAAACCCTTCCTTGTTTGCACTCTACAACTGGCCATCAATGGCGGCTGATGTCTGACTGCTGGGGTGCCCCCCCCCCCCCCCCGTGTAATGTGTGTTTGCTGTGTGTTTGTGTGTCCGTGTGTGTGTCCTCACTTAAAATGACTCCCAGTATTTCCCGCGATGCGTGGAGGTCTAGGCGCCCATGTTCTGTCAACAAGGCCCTCACCTCATGCTCAAATCTGACGCAGAGTGAAACGGAGACCAACTTTTGGCTCAAGACATGCCAAGAAACCTTACCTGCAGGACACCCTAAACTAAGATGCCGCACGCCTCAAAACTGGAGATTCCGTTGAGCATGTTCAAAGAAACACAAACATATCAGGCAGCCCTGCCGCTGCCACCCGGCCTCCGTAGCCGCCCCAAGTCTTGTCGGTCCATTGATCCTGAGCGGCTTTGTTGCCCGCGGGAGAGGACAAGAGTGAATAGCATCACTGGAATCACGCGGCAACACAACATGCTGCATCTTAGACAAAAGGCGTGCACCAAATTCCACCGAGATGTTTGTGCGATACAGCGAAGCAAGTGCGAAGGTGACATCTGCGTGATGTGAATGGAGCCAACGATGAGTAAACGGTTCAGAGTCCCAGCACATCCACCCCCCCCGCCCAGCAAAGAAATTCTTAGCATCCAACAAGTAACCCTGAATCATTGATACCAACACAATTACAAGCATGTTGCGGACTTGGCACCCCAGTGTCACGCAAAACAACGCGAAGGCTGGCAAAAATTGTGGCTCTTTGCAAACAAGTACACGCAGCACACACACACACACACGCACACACACTGAGAGCCAAAAAAAAAGGACATGTGTAATCCGGCGCAATTGGCTAGGTTGGCTCCCGTTGGGTGATGTGTGCAACAATCAGTCTTCACATCATGCCTAATAGCCTTCACATCTTGCAGCACATCTCCCATGCTTTGCCTTCGATAGTAGTGTGAACTGAAGACCAGGACATGGTCGATTGCAGCAACGCGTCGTACTTGTCATCCCACCAGCTGTATGCCCAATCATCTTGATCCTGCAGGCAGGTGACAAAACGCAGTAACGATGACCTGTCCAACCTAAAATTTGCCCATTGGTGACGAGCGGCCAACCCAAGAATCAACGATCTTTGAAAGGGACCTGGAAAGGGGACATGCTCTTTGTTTGGCCGTTTGCACTTTGATTGACCGTTTGGACGAACATAAATACATCACCTAGTTGCCACAGAACATCTTGACGCCCGACATCAGAGCGATCTAGGAAGAAACACGAGAACACAGTTCCACCAAAGACTCCTGAGACAAACACAGCTCGCCCGCCTCGAGATGCCGGGAGCTATCCAAAAGCTGTTTAAAAGACGGTATACGCCAGCCAACGGGCCTTCTTGGAAAGCCGCACCCGGAAGGTGAAACAAGGGCTGACACAAACAAATAGCGTCCGAAACGGTTCTCCCCTTCTTGCCGTCAACGAACAAACAGCAACTCTCTGGGCGCCTGGTACCACTGGTCCCACTCCTCCTGAAAGCAAATTGCCATTGTTTGAACAGTCCACACGCAAAAGGCAATGCAACCAAAAAAACACAATGATTTGTTTGAGAAAGTCACGACCTCCAAAAGGCAAAGACTCAACATTCTGATTCAGCAGGACCTTGTGCCACTCACATTCTCTGCACATAGCAACCCTTGTTTGTGACCTCGGGCCCCATTCCTTTCTTGGGGTGTGTGTCTGGTTGGTCAATTGGGAATAAACCCCGGCCCGGCAATGGTGATTTGAAGTGAAAGACTGGTTCAAACTATCAGATAAAAGACCTTTGAACGGGAAGCCAAATTAAACAAGAGGGCCTAAGTTGTTGAGGAAATTCCAGGCGCAACAACCCGCCAAAGCAAACAGGTAAACATATATTAATATGTCAGTGCCAAGCAAAACAACACAAGCACAACTCAACCTTGGCCAAACTTTGGCCCTGCAGCAGTTGTGTGTGCATTGACACCAACTCGTACTCCAACTAACACACCATCCACATTGAACACCAGCTAGACCAAACAGAACCAAGAGCAACCAACACCAAAAAAAAAAACTTCCAGCAAGACCAAACTCACCACTCAAGACCAGCCACCATCTGAGGGTGGAAGCACGTACCCCTTGTTCATAGCCCTTGGCTTCCCTGGTTTCCAACCCCCCTTTTGGGGGAGAGGGCTATGAGCATCAGGCCTTTTGCCTTGATTTACCCAAGAAACCATGTGAAAAGCAGCATATGTACTTCTAGGTCCTCCAGTAGAGAGGTTAGAATAAGGGTGCCCTTGTTCAGTAGTCTATTTTAATAGGGGAACCCGCCCCCAAAAAAGGGTAAAAGGGCACTACTGGAAGACCTAGACTTCCACCCTGGACACAGCATCCGGCTTTCCGACTTGACTCGATGCTCGGTATGACTCGACGGGCACTCCTGGGACCACTGCTCCCAGCGCTTCACCTGCCAGCGCAGCTCGGAGTCGCCCAGCTGGTCCCAGCCGGGCTGGTGCCATTGCTCCTCCAGCAGCGCCTGGACCTAGCCACAAGCTTGGACCCGTACAGTACCCTACGCAGTTTCCTGGGGGTTGAATCGACCCCAAAACCATGTTGTTTTGGCACTCATTCGACCTAAACAAATGTGTTTGTTGGGTAAGCATTGGCTAAAGATGACTAAGTATGGTACTCTTCCTGAAATTGGACCTGTCGTACTCTACGCGCTTCCTGGGGGTTCGCACTACCTAAAAGCCAGTGGTCTACCAAAAGAAACGGTTGTTTTGCAATCATTGACTCAAGTGCTTACGCATCCAAGTCTAGGGAACCTGTGCAAGGTTGCGAAATCCGAGCTTCTCGCACCACAAGAAACCCTGGGATGATGAGACAACCAGAACAACACCACACTGTAGATGGACAGTTGGGAACGGCAAAGAGAGTACGTCAGTCTGAGAACCAAACTAATTACAGGACAGAAATCAATTTCACCAGTCTCAATGCGGTTCCAATCACCAGGGAACTTGTTACCAGACATCGTTCCAGGTGTTTTCGTTTAACTGTGCTTATCCCTTCCCAGCTGGAGCCGATAAGCCTAAACCTGAGTAGCTCCGAAGCCCATGCATCGCCTCACCTCTTTGGGAGCCCAACCTGCGTCCATGGACTTGCCCAGGAAGGTCCGTTCGCCTAGTTCATCGCAAACAGCCTACACCAACCGTTCGTCCCGGCCCCGCTGCCTCTGGACTTGCTTTGAGTCCTGCACAATGGCAGAGGCAGCAATGCAAACATATGCGAACGCATGGAGCCCGAGCATGCTGCTCCCAAAAGACAAACATCGCGCAGACCGCAGGGGATGCCCATGGGTGGAATCTCGGTCAGAAATGAATGCAAGTTGCCCTCAAACTTTCCGACGGTCCGTAAATGTACTCGATCCAGGAGTGGTACCTGGGCTGCAAAAACACCAGTGTCCCATAAATCAGGCTATCGCTGCTTTGAGTTGTCCTGTGAAAAGGAAAAACAACTGCATTCCGACAAGCGGGTGAATCTACCGACCAGCGTGAACATGCAAAGGGAAGCAGTGACATGCTGGTGCTGCCTGAATGTGTTGTGCCACATTCCGGCCACCGCGGCAAACTCCTTGGCCTTTTCACGCAAATTGTTGTTCTGCATTGACCACAGTAGCTACCCCGGCTTTTGCCCCCTGAAAATGCATACTTAGATTATGGCCCGTTTTTAGCAAGCCTTCAACAATAATATTTCAAGCGAGGTAGATGAGCGTTTTTGGTTTTTTTGGATTTCGCTGCGCGCGCCGGGAACCGTGCGCGTACCTCCGACTGCCAGGCTGCTCCAGCATCTGCGTCATGGCATCCACAATGCCGGCCGCCTCCACATCACCCGTGTCCCGGGCAAACTCGAGGATGGCCTGCGGAGCTGTTGGGCCAAACGAGTCCTCAGAGCTTCTGTGAATCATCGTTCAGTCTTCGACTGGTAAACTAGTGAATCTGCTGATACGGTTTCAAGTCAAGGTGGCTCAACGATTTGACGCGACACGGTGATGTATCCGGTATGTATGCCTGTGCTCCAGCTTCCCTTCCTAGCTGCCTGAAGTCTGATTGCCACATTCACAAGAGCGGCAATCAACAAAAGCTTGCCCCACAACCTAATTGATAGTTGCACTCGGCCTCACAATCCGCGCCGAGCATGAAAGCCATCTTCCACAACACAGCCGCCTCATCCCTCCAATTGCCAGGGAAGGAGAACAGGCACCCATGGCACCCAAGAGCCCTTGCCCGGAATCCCCAAGAGCGTCT